TCGCCCCCCACTGCCGCGGCTCGTTGGGTAAGGGTTGGGAAAGCGAGCCAGATGGGAGAGTTACCGACCGGGACGAGGTGCTATGACCTGCCGCGGCGCTGCCCAGCTGCCCTGGGGTGGAGCGCTGTTTGCCGAGCGCGGTGGCTTTTCCAGGGACGCCGCCGGTTTGTGCAGATGCCGCTGCTGCTTCTTCATCACTGCCACCGAAGCTGGTGATGAAGGTGATCTTCTCCTCGTGGCCAGGAGACGGGGTGCGGGAACGGGAGCGTGATTCGGAGGTGGACTCGGAGGGGGAGCTGTGAGGTGGCGAGGAGGGAGGCAGCTTCAGTTGCTGAAAACGCTCCCTCCCAAAAACCGCCGGGGGCCAGGTTCCCCACTGGCCGCAGGGACCGGCAGAAAGGGGACGTCCCCAGCCTGGAGAACCCACTCATCCCGGGGCCGCAGTTGCTCACCGTTTGTAGGGATCGTAGGTGGGGCTGTCTCTCCGTGCATAGCTGCAAAAGGAGAGGGCAGTAGGGAAGGAGAAATCAGGGAATCAGTGGGATGTCACTCGGGAACAGAGCACCCAGGACCCCACGAAAGCTGGCATGGGCACGGACATTGCCTGGGACAGAGCAGGGAGGAGCCAGCTGGGACAGATATGAGCGGATCAGAGCCATGGCTGAGCTCTGGGGGTCCCATCTTGGTTGCTGGGCTGGGGAGCTCACCTGGGCGGGCTGATCTTCCTCCCTTTCAAGCGTTTCTCCCTGAACTCCCTCCTCTGGCGGCGAGAGCGACGGCCCTAGGAGAGCAGCCTGAGCTAAGAAATGGCACTGGCCGGGGGGAAGCAACACCCAGTGTTTCCAGGCCCCCTCCTTGGGAAGCAGATGTGCCTCTGAGAGCAGGGAGCGGGCCCAAGGCACCCGCACGGCCTAGTGTGCTGCCCTGGGAAGCTCCCGGCCAGCTAAGGCTCGCAGCAGGACAGGGCAGAGCTGGCCAGAGCTCCCCTTACCGAGTACATCGCCTTTTCCTCTTCCAGGGCTTTGGCATTTTTAATAGCTTCTGCCTCCTCTTTGTCCTTCCGCAACATCCTTTTCCCCCCAAAAAAAGAGAGAGATCCTCAGTAAAAGCCCAGCAGCCAGCAACCAGAAAGGGAGCCTGTGCTCAAGGGAGGTGTTTTTTGGGGCCCTCCATCCTAAACACAGGCACATCTGCAAAGGATTTAGCCCCCAGCAAGAAGGGAGGGCCCTAGGGAGGCTCTGCCGGCTTCTCAGGGCTTTCCCCGGCTGTCCTGGCCGCCCGCCATACCTGACAAAGTCCCCCTCAGCCATGCCATACGTGGTCGCTTGCTTGTTCAGGTCAGCCACTTGCTCTTGGTTCAGCTCGTCCACGTCCACTTCCACATCTGCGGGAAAAGCGCAGGCAGCTCAGCGCACCCTGCATGGCAAGGCAGGGCTCGGCATGTCTGCCAGATCAGGGTGAAGCAGCCCAGCAAGGGAAAGCCGTTACCAATATCAGGGATGACTTCGTCTTCATCCGTGTTGCTGTCTTCCTCGGAATCTTCCTCCTCACCCCGTTTCTCCAAGGAGTTCTCGAGCTCAGCCACGGTGCTGTCTTCGTAAGTGTAGCCGATGGAGGCCTTTTTCTCCGCCAACCTGGGCACAGACACACTTAGCCCCTGCCCACCTCTCCCCTCCAGCGCGGTGGTGCCGCGCCTGGCGAGACAACATCGGGACAGAGTTTCCTTGGGAAGAAACCAGTCCTTCCTCTGCCTCCCTCCTCAGCCACCACCGCTCTGCTCAGCCCCAGGACAGCCTTGTGGCTGCAGCAACAAAGACGGGACAGATATTTCAGCATGGAGACGCAGGGGACAACTTCAGAGCATTGCCGAGAACAGCCAAGGGTGGATGGCACAGCCGGTGGCTGCTCAGTCCCACCCCACTAGAAGGGAAACTGGGACCGGTTGAAAAACGGGTGTTTCTGAGGCTGTGGTGCCACATTCCCAGCACAGCACACAAATACACGGACACAACAACCATCCCGTCACCTCTTCTCACACTCACTTCTTTTTCTCATCTTCGTTCGGCTTCTGGAGTCCCCCGTAGAGCTCATCGATGTAGATCTGGTAGAGACACTGCTCCTCCGAGACTGCAACCACACAGGGAAGTTACCAGCCTGTTTTACGCCCACTTGAGAGAGAACAGCTCAGAGAGCTGATTAACCACAGCTCGTTAGAGGTGACGCAGCTCCTCCAGCGCTCCACCACCCCCAGAGCAGGGACAAGACCATCCCCTTGCCCTTCAGCTGACACCACGTTGAGCCATGCCCCAGACGAGCTCGGATTTCCCCCGAATTGTGGGGACTCACCCTGTCTCAGCACGGCCCTGACCCTCCCACCTGCACGAGACACTTACTGCCAGCAAAGTCGTTCTGCACCAGGCCTCGGTACCGCTCATAGTTACACTTCCTCTCATCAGACTCCTGCTCAGGGGAGCTGGAAAGGAGCAGGCACAGCTTTTAGTGCTCATGAGCCCCTGGGGAGATGTAGCTTCCTCTCTCCCCAGGAGATTTTGGACCCTAGAAAAACCACAATCCCTTTCTGCTCAGACTACCAAGATTGGATCCCCATGGCGTGGAGAGACTGGGGCTGGGGTTTACAGGTGGAGGATCACATGCTGGTCCAGAATTCCCTTGAAAAAACAGCAAAGGGGCCAAACTCCTCTCCTGAACTTGCATGAAGGTTGGCGAGGGTAAGCAGATACCAGAGCAGCACCGAGTAGGGGCAGAAAGGGAACCTGGCTGCTCTTCACAGCCCCAGCAGGGAAATTTGCCCTCTGTCCCATCCCTGCTCAAAGCAGGGCCAACCACAGCAAAAAGACCAGTGCCTCTCGTCAGAGATAAAGACCCCCCCAGCCTCTGGGGGTTCTGTCAGTGCTTAATTAACTCCCCCGCTCTAATTATGGCCTTTTTGTCACGCTCTCTTACTGCAGACCTCTGCAAAGAGCTCAGCTCCATCCTCTCTAACGTTTTACGTACATAAAAGCTGCTGCGGGGGTCCCCTTCGCCCCGTGCTCCAGCCCTACCCATCCCTCTGTGCTTGCTCCAGCTTATCCTCCCGATACTGGCGTCTCCACACTGGTCCCAGTACATCAAGTCTAAAAACCACCCCTGCCTGCCCTGCAGTGACCCCGGCCAGACTTGCAGGCGATGCTGGCTCCAAAACCTCAGGGAACTACTCCAAAACAGACCCGAGAAGGCCTGATCCGGACCCGGCAGCTCCCGTCGAAGCGGGGTGCCCCGGCGCCCCACGGCTTAC